CCGCTGAGCTAAATCCCCAGCCCCCTGTTTCCTGATTTCTAATACAGCAGCCACCTTATATATTTTACTTCTGTTTGTATTTTCTCCTATGAAGCTGTAACTCTGCAAGGAAGATAATACGTAAGACGCAAGGTCAATATTAAACAGTTACTGACCAGTGTTGAGTTTTATGTCTCTCTGTTGTTCTCAAAGTGGTAGAAGCTGAAAAACACTTTATCTCTGTCGTGACAGAGAGTCCTGCTCCCTGGAAGCCCTTGTGACTTAGTGAAACAGGTTTGTGGCCTGGCTCCAGAACCTTCGGAGCCGTTAGAAACAGTCCCCGCAGCCAACAGCCGCAGTGCCACTGTGCCGGCTGTGATCTGCGCTCTCTCTGATCACGTTTTCTCTGCCCAAGTAAAGCTGGCTCTTCTGGATGGACGTGTTGCTGCTCAGTGATGGCATTTGCTACTATTTATGTACAAAATCATACTGACTTGGAAACAAACATGATATAGATATCTGTAAGACTATATCTGTTTACATCTATATATCTATATCTATATTTGTATATTGGTAACGCACGTAAATGCCTAAATATTTAAGACTTTCAAGAAAGGAAAATCCTGGAGAAAGGTATTCAGTATTTGGGTAAGTAGTACATAATGTTTGAATCTGTGAATTAGGTGACTAGTATTAGTCTTTATAGACTTTTTTCTTGTGAGTTACTCTTCAGCTTTTATTTGATCCTGTTCCCAGGTTTTGGGGAGCTGGCGTCTCCTTCTGGAGGTGGTTTCTAGGTTCTTTCTGTCCTGAGCAAAGAACTGGTCAAGACAAGCACACAAGTGGTAGCAAAGTGTTGCATTTATTAAAGGTAGAAGAAGAAACAGGCTCTGCAGAGTGAATCTGGGTCACATAAAACAGCGAAAGAACCGTACAGAGAGAGTGGGCTGCGTGAGAGAACGCAGTCGCGGAGACTGCGGCGTGGTCCGTCCGTTCTGTATCGCCTGCTCCTCCGGCTGACCTCAGGTCCAGGCCGTCCTGTGGAAAGCCTGCTGGAGTCCCTGCAGGAAGGTCACGTGGCAGGGCTGTGGGAACTGCTCTGTGCTGAGTCCTGGGATTTTGTAACGGACAGATAAGCGTGCTTTCCCAGCCAGTTTTGGCACGTCTTAATCTCCTGTCTCAGTATCTTTTGGGATTGCCCAAACCTATTTTCCACGAATGCTACGATCATCACCAAGTTGGTCCCTTGT